ATTGACTTCCTCCAAGACATCCCCAAGGAGAAGCCACATGGACCTATCCCGATGCAGCCCTGGGTGCTGGAGCAGCCGTGTGGAGACCCCTGCTACTGCTAAGATGCTTATCCATTCACTGACTCAGCTTTCCTCCTGCAGTTGGCATCATTGCCTCTTGTTTTGTGAGGTGGAGGACTTTGTGGACTGGTGTTGGGTTAATGTTGGACTTGTGGGCTTGGACAGCATTAGGTTGGGATGTTTTCGTGATGCACACTTTTTTTACATAAAACTCTCTTATACATGAGTTGCTGTGGATTTGTTTCTCTAAAGTACCTTGACTAATGCAACATGTGACACCCTGGGATACATGATGCAAGCATATGATGCACTACATATAAGACAGGGACACATACAATACACACGGGATACAGACACGTGATGCAACATAAATCCATGTGATGCACAAGAACATGTGCTACATATTAAGTACACAAGACACGTGATACGATATACCTGTGATACACAAAACACACGATACACTACATACACAGGTGACACAATGTGTGCGATATAAGGCACATATGATTCAATTAGCACACACATGATGATCAGACACACTGACAATACACGTGTGCTACAGACCCATGAGACACAGTAAACACACACCACAAGACACACATGGCACAATAAGTACACACCTGATACACAAACACGTGCAGCAGATACACGGGAAAGTGACACAGTAAGGTCATGTGTGCTCCACAAAGAACCGGTCCAGCTTACAGTGGAAGTGTGATGAGGAGGTGGGGAAGCAGTGGGGACCAGAGGGCCTCCGCATAGAGTGATCTGGGGCCAGATGAAGAAGGACATCTGAGAGAGAAACGATGAGCAAGCTCGAGAGCCCCCAAGGCCAGTGTCCAGCACATGCAGAGGATATGGGTGGGGTGGGAGTCGGGGTCTCTTCCTGCAAGAGCTGGGCCCTGCAGAGGAGGCTGGTGTGGGAGGGGCCAGGAGATGAGGTCAGTGCTCCAAGGCAGGGGCAGGAGGGGCTGGCACTGCTGGACTGGACCCTCTGGTCACCTAGGCGTGAGTCTGCCTGAGGCTGTAGCAGGGCGGGACTCGGGTAGAATGGACTCTGGCTGCAGAGGGAGCAGCTAGAACTGCCGGGTGGGGCTGATGCCGCCCCGACAGAACAGAAGAACAGAGAGGGGCAGGCTGAGGGCTGAGTGGAGGGCACCAGGGCTAGAGGGGTGGGGCAGGGAGGGTTTCCTGGGGGCTGGGCCGACTGGTGCTTCTGATTGGGGGTGATCAATAGTGAAGACAAAGCAGGCTGTGATTTGGGGCACGGTCAGAGGGCCCGAGGGTGCCCTCAAATCCCACTAGTAGAGTCACCTAACCAGTTCAGGCCACAACATGCACCAGGTCCAGCTGCCTGCCCCTCAGGCCTTCCCACTGTGGACCCTACCCCCCTTCTCGGGGCGTCTTGCTCCACCAGCCTGTGCAGACATCCGGCCCGGCCGAGGGCCTGGCCCTGCCCACTCCTTTCCCGGGCCGCCTTCCGGGGGCGGGCACCTCAGGCCTTCCTGGTGAAGGGAGTTAGCCGCCTCCTTCTCGATTCAGGCTCTAGCTGGGCAGGGTGTCTCCTGGCCCCTGGTTATCCCAGCCTCCCTCCCGGTGTCCACAGCAGGAGGCCAGCTGCGGGTGAGTCCCGGCCTCTGCCCCCCCTAGCCTGGCCCCCACCCTGAGTGACCCCAGCCCAGGGCCTCTCCCTTCTGTGGCCTGGTCCCTGGTACCCAAGAAAACCATACACCTACCCCAGCCCCCAAGCCTGGCCCCCATCTGTCTCCCATCTGACCCTCCAGCCTTCCCTCCAACAGCAAGGCTGAAGGGTGGGGAGTCAGGGCTCCTGGGCACAGCTTGAAGAGCAGTCAGAAGACCCCCCAAAGGGTCTCACTCGGTCCTGCGGTGGGAGCTTGGACAACAGGCAGGGAGCCCCAGTTCCTCCTGGTGGTCAAGACCAGGTGACTTGAGCAGCTCTTGGGACTCAGGGTGGAAGCCAGGAAGCCTCTGGGAGGGGTCCGGGGGCTGCGAGGTGTCTCCTGGGTGGGTGGGGGTGGAGGGTGTGCTCGGGCCCTACTGCACCATGTGTTGGAGACGTCAGCCAGGTCCGAGGTGGATTTAGTTGGGGGGTGGTCCATGGGTGCCAGAGAGGGAGGCCCATTGGACTGGGGGTTCTGAGCCAGGCCCTTCCGCAGGCCAGCTCTCTCCATGGATGGCACAGGAGAGGATGCCACCACATTCACTGCACGCGCTCTGCCAAGCGACCCCCGGCTCTGGGCTCCGGTGACCAGCACGGACCTGGGCACATGCGTGTACCATGACGTGCTGCATGTGAGCGGCGTGTACAATGGGGCTGGGGGGGACACGCACCGGGCCATTCTGCCTTGCCCCCTTAATGTCAGGCTGGAGGCCCCTGCAGAACCAGGGGAGCAGCTGGATGAGACCTTCACCCTGGACACCAACACAGGTGGCCACTTCCTGACTGTCCTCCCCCCCTCCTAAGGGACTCCCATCCCAACACCTCCCAACGCTACCCACAGGGTCTCAGGACCCCAAGACAAAGGCGATTCTGGAGACCCAGTTGGGGTGGGGGACATGGGTCTAGCTCCCTTTCCTCTCTGTACATTCTGGTCAGGTCCTGTGTGCAACCCTCCAGACAGGGAAACCGTCTCAGAGGGATCGGAGTGGTGGTCAGGGGTAGGGGTGGCTGGCCCTGGTCTCCTGATCAGCCACTCCTCCCCAGATGACCAAGGCCCCCACCCCACAGGCTCCTTTCTGCACACAATGGAGTCGGCCAGCTTCCGAGCCTCACAGCGCATCTACATGCACCGCACACTGTCCCGTGTCCTGGCCTTCAGCGTGTCCATTGAGCGCGTGGCTGCCGGAAGCCAGCCCGTCACAGTGCGCCTCCGGGCAGCTTTCTCCCCAGACAGCCCAGACCTGGACCTGCACCTGGGCCCCGACTTTCTTGGAGCTCGGTCAGGGCACAGAGGGCGGGGAGAGCAGGGAGAGGCTGTAAGGGGCAGCAGGGCAGTGAGGGGGGGCTCAGGGCAGGGTGAGTGGAGTGACAACGCAGGGGGCACAGACATGTGGAGGGGACTTAGGAGGGTGCAGCGGGAGGGTTAGGGTGAGGGTGAGGAGCTGCAGGGAGTGATCAGAGGATGGGAGGGCAGGGGACAGAGGAAAGGGCTGGAGTGGGGTGGTGAAGGGGTCGGCCTAAGGGCAGAAGACCCTGTCCCTGACCCACCACCCATGCCCGTAGGTGCCTGTATGGGCGCACGCTCACCCCGGAGCAGCCTGGGAGGCACCAGCAGGAGGTGCACATGCTGTGGACGCCTGTGCCCGAGGCCCTGACCCTGGAGGAAGGCGAAGAGAACAGGGTCTGGGAGTTCCTGACCACAGTGGGTGGCAGCCAGGCAGAGGCCCGAGCTTTGCTTCAGGAGGCTCTGCGGCTGCGGGATGGGAGCCTGCTGTACAGGACCCATGCACAGGCCTGGGCGGGGCTCTGGGCAGGCTGCGGCCTGGACGTGGCAGGGCCCCTGCGGCTGCGCCAGGCCCTGCGAGGTGCTCTCTACTACCTGCTCAGCGCACTGCCCCAGCCTGGGGCCCCAGCACCCATCTGCCACGGCCTCAGCCCTGGGGGGCTCTCCAACGGTAGCCGTGGCCAGTGCTACTGGGGCCACGTCTTCTGGGACCAGGTGCGCACCTTGCACCCCGACTGGGCAGGCAGAGAGCAGAGGGTCCTGGGGCCCAGGCAGCTGGCCCACCTGGCTGGGAGCCGGGGGGGACCGCTCACATATCCAGGGGTGGGGTTCTCCTGAGAGCAGACTCCTCAGGACCTGGGCAGAGAGTCTGGTGCAAGGACCAGAGGAGCAGGGGTAACAAGGGCAGCAGCTGCCAGGTGGAGGCACAGGACTGGGTGACCACCAGGCTGGAACCTGGGTCACACCAACACTTCAAGTTGGCACTTTGGCCCCTCAGACTGTTTCAGAGAGTTCTCACCCCTCCCCAGGTTCTGGCCGCACCCTAGGCAGATTAGGATGCTGAGAGGGGCAGGAGCAGCCTGGGTGGGTGTTGGGAAGCAGCTGGGAAAGCAAAGGTGGTGGGAGCTTGCTGCCCTTCCCTGCATGCACATTGACATTTGGCCAGGGCAGGTGGGGGTCCTTCTAGACTAAGGGCCCTCGGCCTGCCCTCAGGATCTCTGGATGTTCCCGAATGTCCTGGCGTTCCACCCCGAGGCTGCCAGGGCCATCCTGCAGTACCGCATCCGCACGCTGCCCGGGGCCCTGCAGAACGCCCTCAGCCTGGGCTACCAGGTGACAGCGGCGGGGCTGGGGGGCAGTTCCACTACTGAGGGAGGAAGTAGGACCACAGCCCCACCCTGCCCTCAGACCACCACCCTGTGGTGCACCTGGCACATGGGGGTGTTAGCAGGTGAGGATGCTGCACTCAGCGCTTCAGCCTGCTTGAGGGGCCCAGAGACAGGAGAGCCCCTCTCCATCCACCCTACACGTGGGGTGGTGACCCAGCAAGTCAGGTAGGGTGGACCACCCACTCAGGCTGGCGCCACTCTGCAGGGAGCCAAGTTTGCCTGGGAGAGTGCGGGCTCCGGCCTGGAGGTCTGTCCTGAAGACATTTACGGGGTCCAGGAGGTGCATGTCAACGGGGCTGTTGTGTTGGCCTTTGAACTGTACTACCACGCCACCCAGGTGAGCTGCCCCCATGCTGCCCCCGAGGCTCAGCCTCCTGTGGTATGACCAGGGCTTTCTGTTTGGGGACTCTGAGCCTTAAAGGCGTGGGGGAAGGGGGCACTTGGGGAGGAGTGCAGTGAGTTGTGGCAGGAGCCCCAGGCCCCGGGCCCCGACCACTCTTGTCCCCCTGCCCCACAGGATGAGCAGCTCTTCCGGGATGCCGGAGGCTGGGAGCTGGTCAGTGCTGTGGCCGAGTTCTGGTGCAGCCGAGTGGAGTGGGTCCCTGAGGAGGACAAATTCCACCTGAGGGGTGAGGGCCACGGGCGAGGAGGCAGGCTCCAAGGGTGGCTCCCCAGGCCCACCCTGAGGTCCTCTTGCTCTCCTGTCGCCAGGAGTCATGCCCCCAGATGAATTCCACTCAGGCGTTAACAACTCCGTGTACAGCAACGTCCTGGTCCAGAACAGGTCAGGCCCTGGGCCCACCTCCACCTGTCCCTCCTACGAGGGACCACCTCCTCCTGCCCACCCCACAACAGCCCACCACCACCTTACCA